CCCCAAAACCCCAAAACCCCAAAACCCCAAAACCCCGGTTTAAAGTAGTCAGATTGAAATTATATCCTAGCTGTCATGTTGTTACTAAATTCGTCAACCCAGAAAATAATTTGATCTAGGCCAAGTTCTGCTCCTTTGATGCCAAATTTTCCAGTGCTATAATTCAGAAATCCATGAGGGAAGTTCATCAGCTCAGAAAGTTTGATGTCCATTCCTATTTTGATTGCTCTGCTTAAGAATAAATAAGATTCGTCTCTAAGGACATCTTTGGTTGCTACCAAAATCCTCGTTTTTGGATAGTGCTTCAGGATTGAGTCGGGAGTTATCAAAGGGTTTATCATATAATCGTTCTTGGTAGAAACCTGACCATCAGTGTATCCCTCATACACAACTCTTGCAAAGTTCATAGTGATCAAAGGATCTGTTAGGGAATACAGTAAAGAAGGAACAATAATTCCCATTGACAATTGTAAAGATGGATATATGAGAATGACCTCATCAGGAACTCTGATATCATTAATAATAGATAAACTTGTGATTCCTCACACCAAATTTCCTCCTGCTGAATCTCCCATCAGGATGATGTTCTTCGGAGAGAGATTCATTTGCTTAAAACCGTGATGAATAAACCAATCGTATACACCCCATCAGTCCTCTATTGCTGCTGGGAATGGGTTCTCTGGGGCAAGCCTGTAATCTATCGAAAATATTGGAACTCCAGTCTCAGCCATGATGGTTTTAGTATGCAAAGTATGGGTTTTAGAACTCATTCACATGAACCCACCTCCATGGATGTGGATGATCACAGTCGAAATATGATTGTCAACAGGATACACAACATCTTGGTAAAGGTCATTGTTCATGCACCTCACCTTAACATGATCATCTGGGGAGTAATAATGAGGATCATCAAAATAATTTTCATACTCCAAGGATACCTTGTTGATCCTTCCTCCTTTCATCGATGATTTAATGCTTTCTGAATCCTTTGGGATATAGATGATCTTTTCAGTGCTGACTTGGGGTAAAGCCTTATCAATAAGGGCGGTATACTTCTTAGATTCTGACATATTTAATGCTTTCCTTACATCTTCAACTGTTGCGGTCTATTCGTCAAGGCTCCAAGAGCTTACCATGATGAACTGATGTAGCTGCCCAGGGCAGTCTTTATAAGTGATCCTCAACAAATTCTGAAACATCTGCATATAAGTTTGATGGATTGAGATTGCATCCCCGCTCTTAATTTTTGTGACGTATTTTTCCATCTTTTGCCACTCAGGAGAATCAGCAGTTTTGTAGAGAAGTTTCAAAAAGGGATTTTTCATTGCTAACAAGTTATTCTCAAAACTTACGTCTCATTCCAATAAAGATCAGCTTGCTGAAGGACCTAACAGTATATTGGATATAGGAAAGCTCTACCAAATAGTCCTTAAAATCTCCTTCACAATGATATTTGACAAACTCTCCAATGACCAAGATGAGGTTTTCGGTCCATTTAACAAATTGCTGAAAAAGCAAGCAGAGTAGGGAAACATTCTCTGGCTCAAGGGAGGCGCCCAAAGGAGTGCTCTCACTTCTCACCAGCATTGACTCAAACACTAGAAGTGATAAAGGTTCTTACCCATATCAAAGTTTTCTTGCTCTAAAAGATATTCTTCTTCTTTGACGTGGAATTGATACTTTTTAAACTTTTCCTTGAAGAAATCAGTGCTGTAGAGGTCTTCTCCAGGCTCGAGGTATTCCTCACTAGAGACCAGCTTGTTCTCAATAAGACCGTCAGCAATCACATGGATAAAGTGATCCATAATTTTGTTATTAAGATGACATGATCTGACGATGAAAAGAAATTTTTGAAAATCCTCTCGTTCAGAGAGAAGATCTTTCAAGCTTAGCTGTATTCTCTCCAGCTCAAATTGTGCCATTTTCAAAGCTCCAGCTACAAGTCAACCAAGGGGTGATTACCTAGCTCCTGAGGCGTATGAGTGACGTTTCTGAAGTCTTGATAATTTCTTGGATTCATTTTCTGCTTAATTAATTATTCTCTCTTCTAGCACTAAATCCTAAATTGGGGTTTTGGGGTTTTGGGGTTTTGGGGTTTTGGGGTTTTGGGG